ATTACAACTCTTCCTTCCAAATCTTCCTGAGTGCTTCCTAATTTGTTGAAATATTTTAAACATGTACGCACAAAAGTGCTTTGTCAGTAAATGTTAAAGATGACCTAAACCATCTTTTCAGTGAATCTCCAGGTCTCTTGCTTTCCTTGAACTGACATTTTGATGTTCTGTTTAATCTGATTTACCAGTTATGCTTCTAAAGACCATATACAATTTGAGTACCTGAAGCTAGCCCAGAGAACTGTTTTGAGCATGTGCTTGAATATGAACACAGGATTCTTGAACATAATTGTGCTACAAGCATTCTTTAGTTTTAAAAATAAAAAGTTGTATATGCATATGTACCTGGATATGTTATACCTTGTTTTTCTTGTACCTGTACTTAAATTTTCATTATAAGAGAGTTCTCTGCAATATAATTTAAATGGCATCATTAAAGGAACACTATAGTCACCCAGACCTCTTCATCTCAATTAAGTGGTCTCATGCATTGTTCCCGTCCTCTTAACCCTGCAATCTAAAACATTGCAGTTTTTCGTTACAGAATCTGCAATTTTTGCTTTGCATGAATCAGTCCTTCTCTAGTGGCTGTCAGTATGACAGCCACTAGAGGTACTTCTGGAGGGGCACTGACCAAGTAAAACTCGGTCACATAGTTCTGAAGCCCCTTTGTAAAGTACTGACTGCTTCCTAGGGGAATTTTGAATGTGTGCAGCACTTGCAGCTCATGTACATTAGATACCCAGAGCTCTTCTATAAGGAGCATTGCATTGGACCATCAAGGAGGAGTCCATGCCTCCTGGGTGACATCCCCTGGAGAGGAGAGCAGCAGCAGCACTGAGAGAGCCTTGGCATTGGAACAAGATAATAAGTTTTATTTATTACATTTATTTGGCACACAGGGAGGGAGGGATATAGAAAGAAGTAGGAAGAGGGACACTATAGCAAAAGAAATACAGATTTGCATTCCTAATGGTATAATGTTCATTAGGTGTGAAAACAAACAAATAAATAGACTTCTGTTTTGTTTATTTAGAAGCTTTCATTCAGTAATCTCCCTTATTATTATTTGCATTTCTATAGCATCAACATATTCTGCAGTGCTTTACAACTATAGAGAGGGGACTTTTTAAGGAGAAGAAAGCCCTACTCAAAGTAGCTGAGTCTATGAGGATATGATATCTTGAAGTGTCTTGCCAAGCTGATTCACTGACAGGATATCACCTCTGAGAACACCTTTGCTGGGCTTGCATTGCAAATAACATGACTGCCCAGAATCTCATTTTCCACATTGAATGATGGCTTTATTTTTGGAGTATTACAGATACAGATGATAGTGGTGTAACAGTATCTGATACAGAAACTGGTACTAGTGGTATTACAGCAATGTTGCTGAGCCAACAGTGCTATATAAATGGGAAGTTCGTCACTGTTGTTTGGCCATTATTGCTGAATATGATTTGTAGAATAGATCGTCTAGGGCACACTTTTAGCAACATTCTTGTGGCTTCAGCACATAGGAGTTTAACTTAATCAGAAATGTATTATTATAAAAATCACATTAAATATTTAACGACATTCCTTCCAACTAATCGGTAAACGTGTGTGTGAAGAAACTACCCTGTTTGTTCGGTATTTTGGATTTTCCCCTCTCGTTAGTTGAAACTACCGAACACCGACCACCCCTCTTGCTCATTAACTTCAAAGGAAACTGTGAATTAAGTGCTCTCTCTGTGTGGCCGATGTTCGCATAACCGGATGCCACGTGCTGGAGAAAACGGCGACCATCTCGTTGCATGAACAGTGGCAGCAGGACTTGGTTGTCGAGTGTCTGGAACTAAAATTGGACACAACTTCCCAAACGCCGGTCAAACTTCGTGAACACCTGCTTCTGTTCACCGGCCAGCCAGCCAGGAGGGCGCTGTTCGGTAGGTTTTTTCAAACTAAGGGAACAAATGCTACCTATGAGCCAGGGGAACAGTTGGTGGATTTGTTTGGTTTTTGGACTTCCCAAAAGAGATTGACTTCACAGCCTGATTTCATGGAACTCTTTCTGGGCAGGAACCTCGTGTGCGGTCGGTCAAATTATAACTTCCATGGAATTCCCAAACCCCTGAACCGATCTGGGTGATTTTTGGATATGTTGGTTCCCCAGATTGGGGCTGTCGGGGATATGACTTTTGTTTGATTCCCATGGGGTTTAAGGCACTTTTGGGGTTTTGTAAAAATATGTGTTTTTTTGTATTTGAAAATAATTGAGTTGAGTACAATACTTGACTCAATTATCTCCTAAGTGAAGGGGAAGGATTATTGTATTCTATGTGGGAGTGTCCTGGACCTGAGAGACAATGTAACTACAGTATGTAATTTGTCCCTGTGCCCTCTCAGGTCCAGTGTAGAATGTCCGTGGAATATGTTATTGTAAACCCCGTGCCTAGGGACTTGCATAAAAAGTCGGCCAGTTGGCCTGAATAAATTCATTTATGTTGTACCCTTCTTCTACTTGGAGAATATTCATCTTGATACCTGAACTGCAAGCTATAATCACTCAGCTCTTGGCAGTTTGGGAGGAACTGAATATGAATGGGTATCTGATATACCAGCATTCGTAACAGTGTGTCTTTAGATTTAGATAGAAATTGGCTGAGTCGGCAGTTTGATTGAACGAGTGACTGAATCACAAGATGATTGAATCAAGCAAGTCCTGAATTACCTGATGAACACAATAACTGTATGCACAGATTAATTCAAAAGTGACCAAGTAGTAGCAGTAAAAAAAATCTATATTTTAGATGTTAATATTTAATAAATATAGAAAAATACACTGAGGGTTGCAAGGGGGGACCTCATGGATCAGATTTGTTGTTCCAGCACATCCCATAGATGCTCAATCGGATTGAGATCTGGGGTATTTGGAGGCCAAGTCAACATCTTGAACTCCTGAAAACATTTCTGATTTTTTTTGCAGTGTGGCAGGGTGCATTATCCTATTGAAAAATGCCACTGCCATAAGGAACATCCTTACAATGAAAGGGTGTATGTGATTTGTAGCAATCTCTAGGTAGGTGGTATGTGTCAAAGTAGCATTTACATGAATGCCAGGATCCAATGTTTACCAGCAGAACATGACCACCTCCAGTGACCTTCTTTCTTCCCATAGTGCATCCTGCTGACATCTCTTCTCCAGGTAAACTATGCGTGCGCAGTTGTTTATCCACCTGATCTCTACATTGAAAACACTTTTGATCGCAGACAATGGGCATCATGGGCAGTCTAACCAGTCTGTTGCTACAGAGCCCCATATGCAAAAAATTGTGATACACTGTGTGTTCTGACACCATCATGGCCAACATTAAGTTTTTCAGCAATTTGAGCTACAGTAGCTCTTCTGTGTGATCAGGCCACACTTCAGGTGGAATCCATCTCTGCATTTTAGCGGCATATTTAAACGATGGCTGTTAATAGAGGAACAACATCCCTGAGGAAGACCACAGGATGAAATGCGTAGGATATAGACGCTGGGGACTTACATTGCTGCATCATATCTGCTCCACGTTGTAGTGGATACATGCCTTTTTTATCCTGGCATCTATGAGCCTTGGGTGCCCATGACTTTGACGCCAGTTCACTGGTTGTCCTTCCTTGCACCTCTTTTGCTAGGTACTAACCAATGCATACTAATTCATACCTGGAACACCCCACAAGACTTGCCATTTTGGTGATGGCTAGATATATAGTTATCTAGCCATTACTAATTGGTCCTTGTTAAAGTCACTCATATCTTTTTGGTTGCCCATTTTACCTGCTTTCAACATATGGAATTCAAGAACTGACTGTTCACTTGCAGCCTAATATATCCCACCCCTTGACAGGTGCCACTGTAATATAATCAATGTTATTCCTTTCTTTTGTCAGTGGTTTAAATGTTATAGCTGATCAGTGTAAATATAGAATTTTTGTACTGCTCCTCCTTTTTCCCCCTCAATTGATCTGTGAGAACACAGGAATGCTTCAATGTATGAATTGTATGGATTAGTCTCCATGCTGTACTCCTCTTGGCTACTTGATATTCAGCAAATCAGCACCTGCTCATGATTGGACAGAGCACAGAGTGCGAAACACATATTTGGAGGGATGTGAACAGGCGTGGACTATTAAGTAGACACTTTTAAGTTGGCTGAAGTATATATGATGGACATATGATGGTCTCAAGGTGTTTTCCTAGATTGAGTTTTTTTTATTTTATTTGCTGTTATATCTCTCCATTATTATTTTAAAGCATGTAGAGTTATTTAAATAATACAAATAGTTGAAGCTAAGTACCTTAAAGATATGCATGCTACAGTATATACTCTATGCTTAATTTGTTTGTGCACTAGACATTGTCATGTTGAAATTAAACAAGGATCATATAGAAACAAGGATCATATAGAAACGGTTTATTGAGATTCATATGAAAGACCCTACACAAAGCATTGACCTCAACAATATTATATATCTTCAGCAGGTATGGAACTCTGATTGCAAGTCAGGACTATTTGCCCTGTCTGATGGCTTAATCATATAAAAGTATACCCCTGGTGGAATCTTTCAGCATCTAGCAGAAAACTGCCTTAGAAAAGTGGAAGGATCCTGTTCCCTTTCAGTGTCCATGATTTTCAAAAGCAATGGTCAAGGAACAGCATGTTTATAAAATAATATCAGGTTTTGTTCTAAAGAAGGACAAATAATGCAACTAAAATATTTTATAGTTAATTTCTTCAAAACCATAACTCCATAATTTAGGCTTAAATAGGCTGTAATTTATTTATTTTTTTAAATCATTTTGCATTGATCTTCCTTTCACCACAGTTGGGAGTTGTGTAAAAACTTGCTCATGTCCTTAATGTAAAATATTCCTGACATATACAAAAAATAGAGAAGTGTCAATACAATATGTGAGCCAATTTGCTATAAAATTAGTTTTGTGCAGTTTTGCATAAGTGGTATGTATATATCACTTAATAAAAGTTTTGTTCTCTCCCCTAATGGGAAAACATTTTCCATTTTGTCATGATAGAACTAAATTATTTGGACTAGTTTCTGTAAAGAAAAGAAAGCTCTATGGGAATATGATATTAGGTCACCTTGAGTATGAATTACAGATGTAAAAAAAATGCTATTAAAACTCTGAAATGGAAGAATTAAAGGACATAGCTGAGAATTGCACATTGAAAGATTTGGATTGATAACAACAGATGTTTTACACGTAGAGTAACCAGACATTGGAATTGCTAAGAGAAAGCAGTGACTGAAAATCCAATAATAGGATTTGGAATCACAATGATAGATCACAATGACTGGGTTCTTCAATCAAACATAGCATGACTGGAATCATGACAAGGAATATAAATGTGTAGATTCTTGTAACCATGCTGTTCTGAGTGGATTACATACATAGTTTGGTTCAGTGATATCTATGGCTAAAAATAAAGCGGGCAGCATACTCCAACCAATTCAGGTTTACTTGACCATAATATGTATATAAGAAATAGGTGGTGAATAGTGATGTACCGAACGGTTCGCCGGCGAACGGTTCCTGGCGAACATAGCATGTTCGCGTTCGCCACGGCGTGCGAACATATGCGCGGTTCGACCCGCCCCCTATTCGTCATCATTGAGTAAACTTTGACCCTGTACCTCACAGTCAGCAGACACATTCCAGCTAATTAGCAGCACAGCCTCCCTAGCAGACCCTCCCACCTACTGGACAGCATCCATTTTAGATTCATTCTCAAGCTGCATGCTTAGTAAGAGGAGGGAAAGTGTAGCTGCTGTTCATAAGATAGGGAAAAGCATAGCTAGGTTAGGGATAAGGGTATGCTTTTTTTGGATTTTTTTTTTCTATCTAATGTAAATGCACTTAGTTGTCTGCCACTGCTGCCAGCTTCTGTGTCAGGCTCACAGTGCCCATTTCCTCAGTCAGTGCCACCAATTACATCTGGTGTCACAATAGCTTGGATTTAAAAACAAAAAACTTTTTTCACTGTTATAGATTGAATAGCAGTCAGTTGTCTGCCACTGCTGCCAGCTTGTGTGTCAGGCTCACAGTGCATACTGTGCCCATTTCCCCAGTCAGTGCCACCAAATACATCTGGTGTCACAATAGCTTGGATTTAAAAACAAAAAACTTTTTTCACTGTTATAGATTGAATAGCAGTCAGTTGTCTGCCACTGCTGCTAGCTTCTGTGTCAGGCTCACAGTGCATACTGTGCCCATTTCCCCAGTCAGTGCCACCAATTACATCTGGTGTCACAATAGCTTGGATTTAAAAACAAAAAACTTTTTTTACTGTTACAGATTGAATAGCAGTCAGTGTCCTTAAAGCGGGTGTGTTACGCTAACAGTGGATACGCTGACAAGTGCCACTAATTAGATCTGGTGTCACAATAGTTTGGATTTAAAAAAACAAACCACTTTTTTCACTGTTATAGATTGAATAGCAGTCAGTGTCCTTAAAGCGGGTGTGTTACGCTAACAGTGGATACGGTGACAAGTGCCACCACTTAGATCTGGTGTCACAATAGCTTGGATTTAAAAAAAAACACTTTTTTCACTGTTATAGATTGAATAGCAGTTAGTTATCTTCAAGCAGGTGTGTTACGCCAACAGTGGATACGGTGACCAGTGCCACCACTTAGATCTGGTGTCACAATAGCTTGGATTTAAAAACAAAAAACTTTTTTCACTGTTATAGATTGAATAGCAGTCAGTGTCCTTAAAGCGGGTGTGTTACGCTAACAGTGGATATGCCGACAAGTGCCACTAATTAGATCTGGTGTCACAATAGTTTGGATTTAAAAAAAAAATAATCTTTTTTCACTGTTATAGATTGAATAGCAGTCAGTGTCCTTAAAGCAGGTGTGTTACGCTAACAGTGGATACGCTGACAAGTGCCACTAATTAGATCTGGTGTCACAATAGTTTGGATTTAAAAACAAAAAACTTTTTTTACTGTATTAGATTGGAAATACAGTCAGTATCCCTAATGGGTGTGTTACGCTAACAGTGGATACTGACAAGTGCCACCACTAGATCTGTGTCACAATAGCTGGACTTAAAAACAAAAAACTTTTTCACTGTTAGAACATAGATTGAATAAGGTGTCAAAGTGTCCTTAAAGCTGGTGTGTTACGCTAACAGTGGATATACTTAATAAGTGCTACTAATTAGATCTGGTGTCACAATAGTTTCAATTTTAAAAAAAAAATAATCTTTTTTCACTGTTACATTGAATAGCAGTCAGTGTCCTTAAAGCAGGTGTGTTACGCTTAACAGTGGATATCACGCTGACAAGTGCCACTAATTGTGATCTGGTGTCACAATAGTTTGATTTAAAAACAAAAAACTTTACTGTATTAGATTGAATAAAGGCGTCAGTACCTTAAAGCTGGGTGTGTTACGCTTAACAGTGGATACTGACAAGTGCCACCACTAGATCTGCTATGTCACAATAGTTTGTTTAAAAAAACAATAATCTTTTTTCACTGTTATAGATTGAATAGCAGTCAGTGTCCTTAAAGCGGGTGTGTTACGCTAACAGTGGATACGCTGACAAGTGCCACTAATTAGATCCTATGTCACAATAGTTTGGATTTAAAAACAAAAAACTTTTTTTACTGTTATAGATTGAATAGCAGTCAGTGTTCTTAAAGCGGGTGTGTTACGCTAACAGTGGATACGGTGACCAGTGCCACTAATTAGATCTGGTGTCACAATAGTTTGGATTTAAAAAAAAAAAAATCTTTTTTCAATGTTATAGATTGAATAGCAGTCAGTGTC